CCCCCGCTCAAGGCTGAACACTCAACCCCCTTGTGCCCTGTTAGATTTAGGCAGCACAGTAGAAGGGCTATAAGAAAAAGCTTTCCCCTGCGCACCACCCCCTTATTTTTCTCTCTTTTCTCCTCTGTTGCACTGCTGCAATAAAGATCTCTTGGTCACTTTGAGTGTTATGGTCACTTTCCTTTCAGAATTCATGGAGACTCAGGGAGGCCCTGGTATTTTAGATTTTTGGGCAACAGGTAGGACTGCACCCAGAAGTGTTCTCTGGCCAAATAAGACATCCTGTCAGATCTTAAAAAGGGGAGACTATTTTGTCCCTAGGTTATCATTTTATTTAATAGTACTGAAATCTATTGCCCAATTCTTTGTGACTGGCGATTTTTATTTTTTACTCCCCATTAAGATAGGCTAGTTAATGCTCAGAAAATGCATGTAATGGGTCCCAGAGAAGGTTTTCCGAATGTAAAGGTTACCCAGTGAGATTAAGCATCCTAGTCCACTCCTTTATCCCCAGAGTGGCGGGAAAATAAAATTGGGGGTGGACCCAAATGGCAGTTATAAAAAAAAAAATTAGACTCAATGATTAAAAGCACATAGGCAAATAGAAAGTCACGGGCCAAGCAACAGCTCCCTGCCTTCCCAACGTCCCCACAGCATGGATTCCAGCAGTCAGTCCCAGTGCTCTCAGCGTCTGTGCATCATGGACTCTGGGCAGTGCCTTCACCGGGAAGCCTTGAGTCCCAGGCTAGCGTCCTCAAGTGGAAAAGCCTTCTCCAGTTTCCCTGCCCAGGATGGGGAGTTTCATTTTTTCCCCCCTCTAACTCAAAAGTAATTTTAATTTTTAAAAATTTTTATCATCTGTTATTGTTATTCTCTGGATTTCATTCTTTGAAAATCAGTGAGACCGACAGCCCACATATATTTCATTTGTCTGCAGGAGAGGCAAACTGAGCCCTGTTCTCAAACTCCAGTTTTATTCCCATGGGGAGAGAATGGCTGAAAAGCAGACGAGAGGCCAGGTCCTTTTGGCCCATTTATAGACTGGGCAGCTTTCTTGAGCTTTTTCCCCATTCATCCCAGGACTGGTGTCTCTGACCCACAGAAGGATGATTTGCGTTTGTCTGAGGCCAAGCTGAGAAGCAGTGCTCAGACTGGTGGCCCTGGGTTGAAAGGGAAAAAAAAAAACTTTTTTTTTTCAATTCTCCTCTCATGTCCTGCTATGTTCACACATTACTGGCAGCACTTTTGCATCCAACTTAGTTTTTTTTTTTTTTTCTGTTAAGACTCCTTATTATGTAATTGCATGTATCTGACAAACCAATTCCCAGCTGCAAGAAGGTACAATAACTCAAAAAAATAAATAAATAAATAAAAAACATTCAAAGACCAGATTGTTACAGTAAAACAACATATTTTTCTTAGCCATTTAGCCAAGATTTTTCCCAAGAAACAATCTGTAGGATCAACACATTATTGCCTGTGTCTTAAAGGGCCAGAAACAGATACAAACAAAAAACATAATGACAGACAGAGAGGATCCCCAAATCATGGCTGACAAACTGGAACCTTTAAAACAGGCAGACCAGGTAGGGGAAAAATCTTCAAGTTCCCAACTCCCACTTAACTGTGACTCCTATACCAGTGGTGCCACAGATGTTCCCACAAGGGGAACCAGAAGTGTAGCATCGAAGATTTCAGTGTACACATAGGGGAGCTTACCAGATGGCCAAAGTGTCATGACTTTACTGCATTCAGTTTTCTTTTCTTTTCTTTTTTTTAAGAGAGAGAGAGAGAGAGAGAATTTTAGTATTTATTTCTTAGTTCTCTGTGGACACAACATCTTTGTTGGTATGTGGTGCTGAGGATCGAACCTGGGCTGCACGCATGCCAGGCGAGCGCACTACCGCTTGAGCCACATCCCCAGTCCAGTTTTCTTTTTCTTAAAGTAGACCCAGATGGAGCAATCCTGAGGGTACTGGAAGGAAGGTGTGAGTTCCCCCAAAACAAGGGCTCCGGGCTCCAGCAGCTGCTGAGAATTCTTCAGTCCTTCCCTTTACTTAAAGGAATAGCTCCTTTGGCTTGACCCAAAGCACACTCAATGTCTCCTAACTTTCCAGTAGTCAGCTCTCAAAAAGTTCACCTGACATCCTCAGCATAGAAGTGCAGTTGCTCAGAGTGCCAGGCCTGATCAAGAAGGATGGAGCAGGGTAGCCTAAAGCTTGATCCCTATCCCCAATGCCAATTAATGCCAATTTAATAATGAGGACAGGGTTTGAAGGAAAAAGGAAAAAAGAAGTTTTATTGCTTTATTAGCAAAGGAGAAGCATAGGAGACTCCTGTCCCAAAGGCTGTGACTTTCTCAATCAAGAGGGACAGGGGCTTTTACAGGAACCCTTGATTCCAGGGTCAGTTCTTGAAAGGAGCCTAGGGGGGCCGGATGTTGTCTTAGGATTCACTTGTTAATTTGAAAGGTATTCGCTTCCCGTCCTTAGCAGGCAGGTCCTTCCTGTACTGGGTGTGTTCAAGGGCAATTAACCAGGGGAACAAAAGGCAACACTGTCTCCCTCTCTTGTTAGGGAGAGTGAGGGGGAGAGGAAAGAAAAAAGCATTTTTCTTTATTTCTTTTTTTAATAAGGCTTAAAGCATGAGCGCTTCATTCAGAAGCCTCAGCAAAAGCGAGGCACTAATCAACTCACTGAGATCCTGTCTCTAAATGAAATACAAAATAGGGCTAGGGATGTGGCTCAGTAGTTGAGTGCCCCTGAGTTCAATCCCAGGCCTTCAAACATGTACCCAAAATATCCAGGGAAACGTGTCAAGGGTGACTCTGTCAGACAGTTAACTAACATGTTGTTTTTTTGTATCTAGTGATATTTGTGGTATTTATCAACATCAAAAATTTTTCTCACATGTTGGGACTTAGCTTCTCTATTCACTTAATTTTAGTATATAATTTTGTCTTCTTTTCCTTAGAGGGCCCTGTGCAGAAAAGAGCCAACACCACAGGCCTGAGACTGCTCTTCTGCAAAGGTAAGCTTGCAGAGTTGGGGGGCATCTGGAACCTGTTTGGAAGGATTACTACCACTCCCTGTTGAGAGGGCTCATTCTGCCTAAACTGTTTTTACAAAAAACATAATTGAGTCTCATCAGGAAGGTGAGGACTGGTTGTGAAACAGCTGGTTAGCACTCTGAGGCAAGTGTAGAGTGGAAAATAAAGGCTTTATTAAAGGATAGCAGAGAAGACCCCCCCATCCCAAGGAAGAAGGGGATCTGAAAGGCAAAAATTCCTGGGATGGGGAGGTGTTATCCCTTTTATATCTAAGGTCTTCTTTTGTCCTCCCTACATTTCTGTCCTTTATCTTGCTTATTTCCTTCTATCCTGCATGTGATGTGACTTTGTGAAGAGATGGGTTGCAGGTGGGAAGGCCAAAAGGTAGAAAACAGGTGGACCGATGGGGAGGGGGAGGAGAGATCTGGGCAGGAAGGGCCTAGGGTGATTTGATTAGCACCTCCACATTTGCTGGTAGCTACTTCATTAACAGTTCTTTAGGATGGGCCTGGACCTTGGGGTATATTAACATTTCAATCTCCCAGGTGTAGTTCTGATTTCCCAGGCTCAGATTGGACTCTATATTCTTTATGGACTCCATTTTCTTTACTAGACTCGATATCAGACCCAATTTACCTATCTACACTAATTATCTATCTTTAAATCTGGCTTCATCCTCCCCTCTAAATTAGGAACTCCTTACTCTATAAGGAAATGGGATGATGACCGCTCTGGCTTCTTCAAGCTGGAAGGGGGCAGTGTGGAGCAAGCAGTTTGGAGTTCTGTTAAACCACAATGCAAAGAAAAGACCACCGACTCCAATTTTAAATCAAATTAAAGCAAGCTTGTAATTCCAGTTGGCTGGGACTATCTCTCCCAAAATCCATGGATTAGAGGACAGCACCCCAGTTCTCTAGGAGCATGGTTTTATAGCATAAAAAGTTGCAAAAGGGGTGTGTCTTGAGAACTTACAGATAACAGGATTTTAACAAGCATAGTACAAAGGCAGGTAGCAAGTTAATGATCTAAATGGTTCAACATTTCAAGTTAGATCCCAACACCAGAACTTATGAGGCACCGCTAAGGTTTCAGAGAGGGTTGTTATCTGGCCAGGGAAAACCAGAATTTATGAGGTACCACTAAGCTTTCAGAGAGGGTTGTTATCTGGTCAGGGAAAGCCAGGCATAGGTGAGTTCAAGGCACAGGCAATCATTCCAAGCAAGTTTAGAAATTTCAGTAATTTATAGTAAAACAGAAATTAACTTTTCATGACCTTGTGACATGATTGCTCTCAATCTTAAGATGGAATTAGGCTGGGTTCATCAGTTCCCCTTTTAAAAACTGGGTCTATCTAGTGGTCCATCGAAGAAGTCTGACTGAGAAGTAACAGGCTGGAAGGCCATTTGAGTGATGGGTAGTCTATAAGAGAAATAATAAATTATCAGTCCTGGAATGAGATTAATGAAGCAATAAATGCCACAGCATAGGAGTATGCCAACAAGAATGATGACAATGACAGAGACTAACAATGTTTCTCACCAGGAGGCACCAGAGAACCAGGAGCTAAGAAATTGCTCCCGTGACAAGGTTGGCAAGGCCATGACCGCTTTGTGAGCATGTAAATTTTTAAGCATGTAGTCACATTGCCAGAATTATCAGGGATATATACACAGCATTCAGTTTTAATAATGGCACAAGTACCACCTTGGGCTGCAGTGAGGACATCTAAAGCCATCCTACTGGGTGTGTGGGAGACCTTGCCTTTTGGTTTTATTTCTCCCATCCAGTTTCTCCAGTTTCTGAGAAGAACATCAAGTAATACCTTACTCCTCCCACTCCTCTCCAAAGGGCACCAAAGTCAAAAGTTTACTCGACCAATCCCCGTGGGACACAGTGTCACCTCGCCTGTTCCTGAGTCACCCTGCCAATCAGCACCTGCTAAGTCACCAAGCAGCCCTTCTTAAGCTGAAGCTTGCAAGCTCATGCTCTCTTCCTCTGCTCTCTGCTCTCTTCCTCTGCTCTCTTCCTCTCTGCTCTCTGCTTCTGCTCTCTTCCTCTGCTCTCTGCCTCTGCTCTCTTCCTCTCTGCTCTCTGCCTCTGCTCTCTTCCTCTCTGCTCTCTGCCTCTGCTCTCTGCTCTCTTCCTCTGCCCTCTTCCTCTCTGCTCTCTGCCTCTGCTCTCTGCTCTCTTCCTCTGCTCTCTTCCTCTCTGCTCTCTTCCTCTGCTCTCTTCCTCTCTGCTCTCTGCCTCTGCTCTCTTCCTCTCTGCTCTCTGCCTCTGCTCTCTTCCTCTCTGCTCTCTGCCTCTGCTCTCTTCCTCTCTGCTCTCTGCTCTCTTCCTCTGCTCTCTTCCTCTGCTCTCTTCCTCTCTGCTCTCTTCCTCTGCTCTCTTCCTCTGCTCTCTTCCTCTCTGCTCTCTTCCTCTGCTCTCTTCCTCTGCTCTCTTCCTCTCTGCTGTCTTCCTCTCTGCTCTCTGCCTCTGTTCTATTCCTCTGTTCTCTTCCTCTCTGCTCTCTTCCTCTGCTCTCTTCCTCTCTGCTCTCTGCTCTCTTCCTTTCTGCTCTCTTCCTCTCTGCTCTCTTCTCTGCTCTCTTCCTCTGCTCTCTTCCTCTCTGCTCTTTTCCTCTGCTCTCTTCCTTTCTGCTCTCTTCCTTTCTGCTCTCTTCCTCTGCTCTCTTCCTCTCTGCTCTCTTCCTTTCTGCTCTCTTCCTCTGCTCTCTTCCTCTCCGCTCTCTTCCTCTGCTCTATTGGGTAAATGAACAGCTTATAGCAGTTTTAAAATCAGCTCATAGTTTTTTAATAAATGTTCCCACAGTTGTTTGAAATTCTCTTTCCTTCCAAATTGCTGCATGTGCACGCAGGATTAGGTAGGCAAATTTAGAGTCAGTGTAAATATTAATTCTTTGTTGCTTCCCTAAATTGAGTGCTCTGGTTAGGGATATATATGCCTGAGGTCAAAGATTGTGCCTCTATGATGTCATGTAAAGTCACCACAGCATATCCAGCTTTGTGTTCTCTTTGTTCCATAAAGAAACTCCCATCTGTGAACATGATGAGGTCTAGATTGGACAGGGGAAGGATTGAAAATTCCTTCTGGGCTGAGTAATTTATAGCTAGGACCTATTGGCAGTCATGTTCAGGATTTCCCTTTAAAGTCTCTGGGAGGAAGGTGGCTGGGTTTAAATTGGAGCAAGTCCTCATTTGAGTTATGGGTCCATCTAGAATAAGGTTTGACATTTTAGAAGGCACCTGTCTAGGGGCTGGGGATGTGGCTCAAGTGGTAGGGAGCCTGAGGCACAGGGTTCGATTCTCACCACATAAAAATAAAATAAAGATATTGTGTCCACCTAAAACTAAAAAGTAAATATTTTAAAAAAAGAAGGCACCTGAGATCCATACGCTTCCTTTTGTATTTAGAATCCCTGAGAGATCATGGGAGGTGCAGACAATAGGTCTCTTTTTTTTATGTTGGAAAAAAGAAAGTATATTTAGAATTAGACAGCTGGACTTTGTTTAGATGATCCCAATTTTGTTGGCAACGTCCAAAGCATCATAATCAGGAGCCAGTCGAATATATGCCTTTTTCTCTCCATCAGGCCTGATCAGGGTGTTAACCTTGGCCACATCGATGTCATAGAGCTTCTTTACAGCTTGTTTGATCTGGTGTTTGTTTGCCTTGACATCCACAATAAACACAAGTGAGTTGTTGTCTTCAATCTTCTTCATGGCTGACTCAGTTGTCAGAGAGAATTTGATGATGGCATAGTGGTCAAGCCTAGGGGAAGAAGCAAACTGCAGTCACCTGGCCTAGGTAGGCCCAATATAAGAAAGGATGGGCCTTCCTTTGGAACCCTAGGCCAATACAGCATAGGTGCAATAGGTCTCTTCCCAGGATGGTTTTGGCTGCCTCAGGGACTAGTAGGGCTACTGCCCCATCACTCTCAAACAGTGAGGCCATTCTCCAGGCAGGAGATCAAGCTCCTTACTGATAAGCTACTGGCTGTTGAGCAGGCTCATTCTTTTTTGTGACCACTCCCAAGGCTGTTCTTCTTCTCTCAGTGACAAGCAGGTCACATTTTTTGTTCAGTAGGTAAACTGAGGGCAGGGACTTGGAGTAAGGCTTTGATTGTTCTGGTTCCCATATCAGGGAGTTGTTTCTTGGGTAGTGCTTCTTTGAGGAGGCTATAGAGAGGCTTAGCTAATTCCCCATATCCAGGAATCCAACGCCTGAGTGTCAGTTACCCCCAGGAAGCCTCTGAGTTGCCTCATGGTCTGAGGTAGAGGATATTGTCCTGTCCTAGTTTGTGGGTTCCTTGAGACAGCTGTAATTCTAAATATTGAACTTCTTTTGGGCACAATTGAGCTTTCTTCTTTGAGACTTTATACCTCTTATCAGCTACGGAGTTTAGAAGTTCTCTAGTGGCCTCTTGACATTCTTTTTGAGTGGAGGCACAAAAAAGTATGTGGCCTACACACTGGAGGACAGTCATCTGGGAAGAAAATCAAATGCTGCTCTTTCCCTCTCCTGCTCCATCTGGTTGCTGAGTGACCTACCCCAGGAACCCTTCCTTCCTGCAGGGAGTCATGAGAGTTGTTAATTGAAACCTTACTGCTTGGATCACTCCACCACTTGGCTCTTTCTCTTTACCTATTTGCTTCCCACCTTTTGGCTCGCCCTGACCACTGGTCATGGATGCAGGATGGGGAGAGATAAGGGGCAAAGAGAGCATGAGAACTAATAAAATGTAGAATTTTTTAAAGGGGCAGGACACTCTCACTTCTTTGGATACCAACTCTGTGTCCCCTTCTCTGTAGAGAAATCTACACAACAATTCAACTTGCTTTTTACTCTTGCCTCAGTGATTCTCCATTGTTGAAACTTCAACACCTGGAAAAATGGAACTCCTTGTCACCAGTAATAGGTGGTATCAGCATCAGGGAAGTGGCTTACTCACTAACTCTGGTGTACAGTCTTCAGAGCATAGTCTCTGTGGAGGGGACGCTGTGACCACTGTCTTGGGCACCTGCAGCCAACTGTACTGCCCCAGCCCACTTCAGCACAATGTTCTTCTGTAGATGGACACAACACCTTTATTTTATATGGTAGCGAGGATGGAACCCAGTGCCCCACATGCACCAGGCAAGCGCTCTACCACTGAGCTATAACCCCAGCCCTGGCATAATGTTCTTATAACACAACGGTGACCCTGCAGCCATTGAAGAGTGCAGGCCATGTCCCCTCTCCTTGAGTTTATCCCATATGATGGTCTTGTCCAAGGGGCCCTGCAGGAGTGACACTCTGTGACTTCTGAGGCAAGGTCGTAAAACACCATGCACATCCCCCTGGAAGCTTCTTTTAGAGCTCAGCTGCCATGTTTCCAGGAAGCCCAGGACACAAGGAGAAGCCATGTTTACATGCTGCCTAAAAGCCCAGACAGTGTTGGCCAACAGCCCACGTCAACCACCAAAGACATGAGGGAGGGAGTCTTGGGCTCCTGCCCCAGCAGCATCTGGTGACAACTGCAGGAAAGAAAGTGCAAACTGTCTAGCCAAAGCTAGGGAATCTTGAGAATTTCTGCAGATAGTAATAAAATGATTTTCATTATTTTAAGCCACTAAGATTAAGTAGCAAGAAATACTACAAATATACAACTCCTTTCTGGAAAGGGGGATGGAATTTGTATTCTCAGTGGGAGAAACGAGGGTCCATTTGACTGCAGCCTAGCTGCTGGATCTAAGGAGAGGTGAAGGCATGGCCATGCTGGGAGCAGACCTGATAGTCTTTCTAGTGTTGCTGGACACTGGGATCTTTTGACCTGATGAAGGTGGAAATATTGAAATAGGAGTCAGGTGAATGAGTATGCTTTTATTGGGGCTTCCATTTAGGGAGACAGCTCTCACAAATAGATGTCAGGCTGGCTCCCTAAACAAGTAGTTTTATTGACTACTTGCAATGGTGGAAATGTTAATTGACTTTAGATATATTCAAGAATTTTGCCCTGTGCTAAAGATAGCTAAGTTTCTGAAGCTGCTCAAGAGAACACATTCCAGGCAACCTGACCTCAATCCTGCAAAACTGATCTTCTTGAGGGTGGCACACTCCAAGCCTCTTGGGGTTTGAGTCAGGCCAGAAGTCAAAGCCCAGAAATGCATTTGTCCTTTGTCCCTATGATGGTCCCATCTCACTAGGAAGCCTCAGGGCCTCTTCCTCTGCAACCCATTCAGGTAATCTTTCCACTTTCAGATTTGGAGCAGGAGACTTGGCTTCTAAGCATTGAGGAGGGGCTGGATAATGCACCTCAGGATGGGGGAAGGGGTTCTTGCTGATGACATTGACCTCAAGGGAGGAGAGCTCCCCAGCTTTCCTTCTTTCCATTGGATGGGACTGTCAGGAGAGGCTGAAATCACCAGAACTAGAAATAAGAGTAATAACATGATGTCAATCATGCTGTGTAGGTTGGAAAGTTTTATTCTAAAAAGTGTAATTTACTCTTTGGGGCAAAGGAAGGATGAAGGAACTTACTCTCATACTTAGAGCCTGCACTCAGAAATTCTGCTCCTGGGACTCCATATAAGAAATATAAGCCAATTGTCTACCATTGAGCAGTAGTGGAAATACCACCCCACTTTTGGGTATCAAGCAGCCACCAAAAAATTATTAACTCTGCAAGATTACTTGGGAGGAATTTCATAAGGCTGTGTGTGTGTGTGTGTGTGTGTGTGTGTGTAACAGGGGAGTTTAGGCACTAAGCCACAATCCCAGCCTCCTCCCCCCTTCTAAAATTTATTTTGAGACAGGGTCTCACTGAGTTGCTGAGGTAGGCTTTGAATTTGTGATCCACCTGCCTCAGCCTCCAGAACTGCTGGGATTATAGGCATGTGCTACCATGCCCAGCATTTTTTTTTCGGTGAAAAATGTAAGTGCATGGCCCACAAATGATGCAGGCAGGAGATGGGAAGCAAACCTCAGATCAGCACGCTTTCCTGTCTGCAGCAAAGTCAATCCATCAGCACAGGAGGGCTCATTTTCTGGGTATAGTAATGACCCCCAGGTAGGAGAAGGAGTCTAGGCTTTGTAGTTTATGGTGAGGGTGAATTAATCACTGGACACTGCGAGCATGCTGTCTGGACACTTGGGGACCTCGTGGTTCAGGTTAAGATTTTAACTCAGGAAAGCAGCTGTGAAAAGTCTGAAACTCACTGTCACTAGGAAAAGCTCAGAACTGTGTTCAGTGCTTATCTTCCTTCCTCTGGGACCCACCGTTACCTAGAGGGTCACTGTTCCTTTTCTCCTTCAGGACTCATCTGCAATGGGAAAGCGTCAAAGTCCAGGGCCCAGCATTTCAGTATTTGCCTCCTGCCTTCAGGGCCCTCTGGGCCTGGGAAGGGGCGAATGATTGCTTTTGCTCTAGGGGCCCTTGTCACTGGGAAAGGATGTACTGCTGGGAGAGGGTGACTGTTTGGCTAACTTCCCTCCCTCCTCACAAGCCACACTGTCCCTGTTTTTCCTGGGGGACTGTCTTATAGGAATATTATTTTCCATAACCCCTCAGAAAGGGTGGGCTGGCAGGAGAGCTCTGGAGACCAGGACCACAGACATGCTGGGACATGTGGGGACTGAACTAAGTTGCTGGCTGTCAGGAACAGCAGCCACGGGCAGGCTTTGTCGGGACTGGGCACAAGTGATAAGGACCTTCATCTAGAGACAGACAGAACAACGCTGGAAGCAGCAGTGATAACAATGCGCACCAACTTGGAATGTACATAAACCACTTGTCCTCCAGTTCAGAGAGCTTTGCTCTAAGAACATCAGTGAGAGTGCCACCTTGCTTTCTGTCCCCAGATCGACTTTCCCAATTAATGCAACTACTTCTAAGAATAGATCTGTTTGCTCTAAATGCAATGATTCAGCTGTGGAGTGTAAATTGTTAATGTCTAATG